TGACTAATGATGGGTAAGATGCAGGCCAGCAGGTGGCTCTGCTTTTCTTTACAGGATGTGATGCTTCCTCAGACCCTGGCCCGTCTCCAGGTCCCCAGGCCTTCCTGATAACTCTCTCAAGGTCTGATAGAAGACAAACTGTCAGACTGACCATGAAATGCAAGGAATGTTTCACACTAAGTATTCAACTAGTCTCTTCAACAAAGCCATTATCAAAATGAATTAATACTCATTCGGTAATACCTACTTACACCCAAAGAAATCACAAATAGATGGACAACAAAGAATTTTTAACGAGAATGATTAAGGAGGCTTTCAAATGCCTTTTAAGCATATACTAAGAGAAACAATAATCACTCAACAGAATGGAGGTTCATCAAAAAGTTAAAAATAGAATTAGCATGCGATCCAGCAATCCCACTACTAGGTAAATATTCAAAGGAAATGAAATCAGTATGTTGAAAAGATATCTGCGTTCCCACCCTCATTGCAGCACTATTCACCAGAGCTAAGGAATGGAAACAACTGAAGTGTCCATCAACTCACAAATGGATAAAGAAAATGTGGAATATCCATATACACGGTGGAACACTATTCAGCCATAAAAAGGAATGAAAGCATGGTGTTTGTGGCAACATAGATCAAATTGAAATAAGCAGTTACAGAAAGGCAAGTACTGGATGATTTCACTTATATGTGGAATCTAAAAGAAAAAATTTATATCATAGAAGTTGAAAACAGAATGGTAGTTACTAGAAGCCTAGGGGCATAGGGAAAGAATGGATGACCATTAGCTACTAAGTTAGATAGGACCAAGATGTTCTAGTGTGCTTCTGTCACTACAGACAATAACATAATGTACAAGACCAATACTGCAAAAAAAAAAAAAAAAAAAAAGAAAAAGAAAGCTAGAACAACTGAGTTTGAAATTTTCATCATAAAGCAGTGATAAATGTTTGGGGAGATAAATATGTTTAATCTGATTTAGAGATTACACAATGCATACATCCATGGAAACATTATATGGTACCCGATTCACATGTAAAATTTCTATGTTTCTATGTGTGAGCTAAAAATAAATTTAGAAACAAGTTTCATAAAAAAGAAATAACTACTAGAAAATACACTCTTTTTCCCACTAATGCTACCTAACTTGCAGCAGGCCTCACCCTTTATTTATTCCATCAGTGCAATACATCTACCTAAAAGACAAGTAAAACCAGTAAAGTGTGTGTGCTAGAATAATTTGAGCATAGAAGATATTCGAAAATGCTTAAAGTTTACTATAGGAGTTAAGTACAAAGATATTCTTAATAATTCAAAATTAGCAGTATCTGATCAAATAGATTTGAATAGAAAATGACTCATTATATGCACAAAAGTGCATGTGTACATTGTAATAACCTAACAGAACCCAGCTGGTCTAGAGCAGCTGTGTTAGCCATTTGTCAAATGTTCTTATTTATTTCCAACTGAAAATGATTAATTTATGTCCAATTACTTGGTTATTCCGTGCAACAAAAATTTTAGCTCTCTCCTGTACACAGTACAATTTCTAAAGTAAAAAATTAAAAAAAGAAGAATTCATATTTGAATGTGCCTGTTTAGATGCCAAATTTGGTTTTTAAAAGAAATTTTTAAATTTCTTTTATTAGTACCCATTTGCAATTCATGCAGTTTACAACTATCTTGGGAGTAATTACAGGTACACAGGATAGAGCTTCTTTCTTTTTTTATCCCTTTTCCCCTTGCTTTCCCCTGCCCCTCCTCTGCTAGTTCCCCATCTCCTTTTTGCTATTCTTTGTCCCAGTTCATGCTATGACATTCAGGGTTTACATTAATCAGGGTTACTAGGGTTCTGTACATGGCGTATCTCTATTCTTCCTATTTCCCCTTCTCTCCTCTCACCTTTCACCCTTGTTCCCCTGGACCACTTCCCTATTGCAAGAGAGCCGCCCCCTTGTCCCTTTCTATCCATGTTTTATTATTTTCTTTGTTTGTACTTTGCCTCACTCAGATGAGAGATAACTATCTGTTATTTAAGCTTGTGTGTCTGGTTTATTTCATGCAACACTGTATTTTCCAGGTGCATCCATTGTCCTACAAATATCTCAAATTTAAAACAAATAATTATGACAAAAGTACCCTGGCAAATACATCTGCTAAGGCCTACCCATCTGAAATCCGCCATTATCCATATCTGAGCCACAGTGTGCACATACAAGAGAATTTGGGTATGAAAAGATGGGCATGGAAATCTAAACGCATGGTCACTGAGTCAAATCCCCCAACACAACATAAAATCCTACAGTAAAATTTGGTTTAAGAAGCAGGAGTTCATGTGTCTCTTGACACTAACATTGTAGAGAAGCTTTATCACAAGTCTATGCTGTAAGAAGTGTAACATCAGGTACTATAGACTGTTTTTGGAGATATTCTAGGAAAACTCCTAGAAAGGCTCAAGGAATTGTTTACAGCACCAGAATTTCATCATTACCTGCAGCTTCATTTCTCCAGATGGTAATCTGTTTTCCATAGATGTACATATAACACACAAAAGATGCCCTCTATGGAAATCCATTCACAAACACACAAAAGGTCAACTTTCATGAGAAACTTTGTATGTTTCCACACAGTTCTAATGCTTCTATGTTATTTCCTAACTTCATATTCAGAACAAGCCACTGAGGTAGTGCTAGTAGGATTTATTTCAGAGATTAAAACTTTGTGGCACAGAATTAAAGGAACTTGCCTGAATCTCATAGGCAGGAAGCAGCAAGTTCAGGGTGTAACCCTGACTCTAGAGCTCATTTTCTTAGTAACTATAACACCAGAATTGGTTTTCCATTAAATACCATGTCTCACCATGTAAAGAACTTACTCCAATTTGAAAAAATATCTGCCCTAGGTAAACATTGGCAGAAGCATCAGAAAGAAAAAATGTTTTGGTGACATAAATCTGTCTGATACAAGGATACAGGTAAATTGAAGGTCACCACAGACAGACTCTATAAACAAGAATGCATCTTCCAGTAGCCATGAAAATACCAACAAGAGACACCTTGACAATCAATCCAGTGTCCTCCGGTCCTGTATGATTCCACAGCTCTGCAGTGAATGTATGGGGGAACACACTCCCAACCTGTGCTATTGCCAACCCACAGACTACAATATTAGGGAATCTCAACTTGCACATTTTAGCATGAAAGATAAATATGGCATAAAAGTAACATGAATTTCACTTTGAAGTCTTTGAGTGTAAGCTATTCGTGTGCAGTTACAAAGTTCCATGACCTTCCATATTGTAATATTGCGGAAGCAGAAGTGGGATTTCCGCAGACGCGAGAAGGTGCCGAGGCGGGTCACAGGGCCAGGGACGGAGCCCTATTCCTGCTCTGCTCCACCCCTTTGGGCGCCCTGATGCTCTTCTCTCAGGACTTGAGGACAGGGACTGGGGCAAATGGTGAAAACTTGGTGTCTTTGTCAAATGGACATACTTTCCAAAAAACAAAATACTGCCCAACATTATAGCTTAAAAGCTTTTTTAAATCCAAGAAACTTACTAAAATGAAGTTCCTTTGCCAGAAAACATGATATAGGTGTGTTACGTATATTCATGTATACAACATCATCTATCAATACCTATGCAGAAAACATTATCATAGAGCATATATATTATACATAGACAGGAGACAGGCACGGTGCAGCCAAGACCTTCAGTTGTCACTTTTGCAGTGCCCCATGTAGCTCACGTTCCTTCACTAGATCCTCAGGAATGACGGTGCACAGAACAGACCCTCTAGGTGTCACTCCATTATAGATGTCAATGAGCCACCACCCAGCAAAGTACAGCACACAGGATTGTTGCGTGGCTTAACTCAAGACAAGATTTAAGACTTCTGTCAACCAAGTCTTAAAAAATAAAAAACAGCCTTATCTGTTCAGGAGAGTTTTAGCATGATTCTGGTTAAATGGAAAAAAAAATAGATTTCCTCTCTGATCATGGTGTAGAGTCATGTAAGTCTACATATAAAAATCATACTCTTTCACCTAAAATAATGTATTTAATCTTACCTATGATCAAGTCTAAGCCAACTTGTAACCAGAAGTTACCAGAAAGCAGAAAATCATAGAAATAGCATTGTTCAACCACAAAACTGTGATCTTGGGAATAAAGACAGTAATAATGTACATTGTGTTCAATAAAAACAAAATCTGTATTTTCAACAAAAGTATGCAATCTGTAATTTTCATAAGAAACATGTATTGGACAAATTAGCCTTGTACCTAGTACAGGGCTATGTACATTACCTACGGCTCTGTTCACACACTGTGTGTTATAAGTAGTTGAGAATCACAGTCCATTCTACATTTAGTAACCCTAAGAGTTAGTAGAAATACAAAGAAAAGTGCTTAAGGAAATGGAAATGCTAATTTCCATGATAATGACTTGATAAATACACATCATGTACATGCATGGAATTATTACACCACACCCAATAAATATATACAATTATATGTCAATTAAAATCTTTCAAAGTACAAATGTAAAATAAATGCTGTTGGTGATGCTGACATCTTTAAAGGCATCAGCTCATCGGTTACATTTCTCTCATGGCTGCATCTTTTCTAAGTGTTCCACTGACTTCAATTTTGTCCTTATTCCCTATTTGGAAACAGAGCAACAATATCCCCTTGCCACAACAGGAAAACTTGCCAACGGAAGGAGAGTCACAGAGTAAGGCCAGTGGCTCAGGAGCCTGTCACAAAGAGACTGTCCCATCACCATTAGGCAAAGCATTTCACCTCCACCTTCCCAGTACCTCCTGGGAAGAGCAGCAGAAACCAGACCAGAGAGGGTGGCTCAGGACCTCAAGAAACCCAACCCCAGAGCAGCAAGGCTCCGGTCCACGCTCTACAGGGAAGGAGACATTATGTAGAAAGGCGTGTCTGCACTTGACATAGACATGACATGTCTGCAATCTCTGGAGCATACCCACCCTCTGGTGAAGAGTCTCCCAGGACAGTCCACCCCGAAGGCAGCTCCAGCTGGGTCATCGCCATCACGAGCTCCTCATCCAATGCAGTCAGGGCGCCTGCTGTCAGGGCGAATGGTGTCAGCAGGGTCTGGTGACTACAGGCTGTGAGGCGGTTGGCCTGGGTAACCAGCAAACGGGCCAACCTGCAGGCCATGTTGTCCACGTAGGTCACCGAGCCGGAGCCCATGGTCACTGGGGAGTAACCTTCTGAGCAGAGGCACACAGACACAGTCACTGCTTCCTGTAGCCAGTGGCCTACACAAGAACACAGAGAGGAGTTCAGCTCAAGTCTGTGGGACACGCTTACAGGAGGACTCCAAGCCCCCCACAGCACTGCTGGGCGGATGGCTCTCCTCAGAGCGCCATGTTGTGGAAATGCAGCCACTCTGTGTCCCCAGTGAAAGCCCTCCCCAGCTCTAAAGTCAGTGGCTCCTGATTTTCAAACAATAATTTGTGAGCACTGAGCACTACCAGTCTCTTCTTCTCGTCACCACACAGTTATGTGCCACAAGGGCACCTTTACTTCTACTCCAACCCCGGAATCCAGGTCTGTCCAAGGGCCACTGCCCGCTACTGCTCCACCATTTCCTCTGCAGTCATGCAGTTTCACCCAGTTGCTTAGGCAACAGTTTTATAAGATCGCACCACAAAATTACACAAGTCCACCCCAACCCCAAAGACCTCGTCTGAATGTGATGAGGGAGAGGACTACCAAACAGGGAAAAAAAAAAATGTATGCACACACAGACACACACACACACACACACACACACACACACACACACACACACAGTACAATAAAAAAAAAAGTGAGTTTCTTGTAAATTTATTACAGTAAAAGATGTTCCCATTAATGCCCTCACAGTCATCCCGTCACTTTGAACACACTTATCCCATCATTCCTGACACCTTCCTACGCCATTCTTTCATAAGTGTCTTCATGGCTGCCTCAATGTCCTGAATCAATGCAAACCATTTATGTTTTACGGTCATTCTGACTTTGGGGAAGAGCCAGAAGTAACATGGTGCCAGACCTGGTGGACAAGGTGGATGAAAGCACACCATACCATTGTTAGGAGTCCACCTTTCCCTTGAATAGCACTTCTAGCAACATTCACTTTATTTTTTTATCACAACTCCTCGAAACACTCGGGAAAGGACTTCCAGAACTGCTTCAGAAAGTGGCAAGAATGATGAGAGAAATGTGTGTGGATCATGGGAGAGTATTTTGAGAGAGATTAATGGTAACATGTCTTTCTTTTAGCTGGGTATGGTGGACATGCCTGTAGTCTCAGCACTTGGGAGGCAGAGGCAAGAGGATTGCCATGAATGAGTTCAAGGCCAACCTGAGCTACATAGTGAGTTCAAGAACAGCCTGGACTATATAGCAAAACCCTGTCTCAAAAAAAACAACAACAAAAATTAAATTTAAACACCATATATTTCCATCACACCTTATATATATTCAGCAAATATATAAATTTGCATGAAAATAATAAACAGAAATATATTGTTCCATGCCCCCTTCTAATGATAGCTTCTATGTCTTATGGATGCTACACTGGTACTTCCAATGTAATTGGTCACCTAATCATATTCTCTATTTCTCCTTATGCTCTTGTTTATTGCTTCAGTCTTCCATTTTGCCAAATTTAGTGAATTTCTATACCCAAGTGTATTTTCAGGTGACCTCAGCAGAATTTCTAAATATCAGCAGGCTCACGCTGCTGTAATTCTGATAATCACAAGTCAACAGGGAATAGTCATTTATCTCTCACTGGCCTATGGCATTCCCTTTTCTCTAAGCAGAGCCCTAATGACTGTAAGTCACACAGCCTCTGCCTTATTCTCCAAAGCTTGTCTCCAAAGGTTCTGATGTGTGGGTTTCAAGGATCAAGAGCATTTCAAGTCACAAAAAGAGAGTCGCTGCCATGGTCACACTGACTTCTCAAAAGGCGAGGTGAAGAAGCACCATTTGCCCTCAGAGTACACATACCCAGGATAACTAAACACCGGTTTCACTGGGAAAGCTATAACCAGAGACATTTAAGATTTGGAAATAGACTGTCACTCACCTCCAGGGAATCTGTCAAGATGATGAGAAAAGTTATTATTTGTTGGTGATTTTGATTTGATTTCAGTACTGAGGATTGAACCCAGGACCTTTGCACTGAGTTCATGCTCAGCCCTTTTAATTTTTTAAGACAGGATCTTACTAAGTCACTAAGTTGCCCAGGCTGGGCTTGAACTTACAGTCTTACTCTTCAGCCTCCAGAGGGCTGAGATTACAGCTGTGCACCATCACACTCAGTTAAAATTTTTCTGTAACACACAGAAGGAGGATTGCTCTAACATATAAATAAACAAGAAACAAAAACAAAAACCAGTTTTGACATTGGGAGGCAGACTTTAGTGACTATTTTTATGCCTTCTCTATTCAAGTCTTGATTTTTAAAAAAAACTAAGGAATAAGGGGGAAACTAAGACACCAAAGTCATCATCATAAATAGCAGAGCAAAAGGACAGAGAAAAAGAGACCAAGACCCAAAGAAACTATGTGCCCTTAACTAAGTTTGACTTATTTTTCTTAGAAAGAAGGAGATTACAGAGCCCAAAAGAAAAGTGCTTAAAATTCTTACAGTCTCTGAAATTGGGTAACAGATTAATTCAATGACCAGGCCAGGCTGAAGAGTAGTCATTCATCTTTACAGTTTTCACTGTCTACACTGTCTACACACTCACAATCAACCTTTTTTCTACAAGGTACTTTTGTAGCAGCTATGCTACTTAAGAAAAAAGCTATTCTGCCTCAAACAGAGGCCAATCATACCTTTAAGAAAATATGAAGAGCCTTTACATGATACAACTTGATACCTATGATCAAGGATAATCAGCAAATAAAAAAAATAGCTCCCTGTCTGTTATGGTTTACATCTAAAATGTCCCCCAAAGCCTCATGCACTTTTGGGGAGTGTCAGTGAAAGTGACCTAAAAGAGTCCATCTTGCACCTGTGCTCCTTCCTTCTCTATAGTCCATCTTGCTTCCTGCCCACCATGACCCAAGCAGTGTTTCTCCACCAGACCCTTCTACCATGCTACTTTTGCCTTAGACCCAGCCAACCGTGGATTGTCCCTGTGAGCCTAAATAAACCCTTTAAGTTGTAGATGTCACATCTTTGTCACAGTGATGAGAAAAGAGAGTAAGACACTGTCCTACAGCTTATGGCCTTTTAACTCCACCTTTAGGTTAAAGTTTGATGCCCCTTAGGTACACAAACCACAAGCCACATCTCAATAAAAACACAAAGCATCTTTTGCTGGTAAGGGATATTTAAGCACATAATAACAGGCAAAATGGATATTTTGTCATCTGTCACCATCATGTTTGGTGAAAACAATTAGGAAAATCACACCTTTCAAAATGTGAACATGTTTTAGTGCAGAGAAAAAGTTCTGGAACCTGAGCTCCAGTAATGAAGATTCTAGATGGACAGAGAAGCACAGCCACCAAAAAAGAACAAGATAGGTGATCACAGGGCTATGAGAAAGGAAGACAAACTGTGTCACATCCAGTTCTTCCTGAGCCATCTCTGGCATTGGGCCTGATATGTAGGTATAGTGTTTCCTGCATTTGACAGCATCCAAAGCACACCCACCCTTGAGAGCTGGGTACAGACAGCGGAATGAGCTACCCAGGCTGAGATCAGGCTCTGGATGGAACTGTAGAAAGAAAATAAAGAACCTCAGGTGTGAGATAACACAGGGCAAGTGTTCTTCCTAATGTCACACACACACACACACACACACTGGTGCACATGGTCTGGGAGCACTTTCAGCTTCTCCTCCTGTTCTCTTCCTGGCCCACATCCAAGAGGAAAGATGCTTGTCGACAGATGTCTCACCGCCAGTTAAGGGGCCACCTCACCTGGAATGCTGGACTGCAGCACGTTGTCCTCTGTGCGCTCTGCGATCACAATGTGTCTCTGTTGTGATCCATCATAAACAAAGTAAAATTCCGCGTCTTCAGGAAGATAAACATTTTTGCCAAACTTTGCATAGATTGTCATCTGTCCCTGAAAAAAATGAGTAAGTTACAGCATCATTGTAGTTCCTTGTCCTGGCTCTACGAGACCACAACAAAAGGGCACAGGTCCAAAACACTGTCACTTGTTATATTCGCTTCATGTGAGTGAGCTCAAATATCATAGCTCCTCCTGGCCAACAACAACATTTCTGACATTGAGGAAGACATTTCCTGATACATTTAGTATGGATGTCAGAGCTGGTTTGTTCTGTTTTTACAGATAAAGAAGTTCAGAGAAGAGGGAAGATGTAGGTTTTTGTTTTGTTTTTTAACTTACTAGACAAATGTGATACTTTATCATCTTTAACTTTAAATTCCAACCTATCAAACATCACTGCTTATATTAATTTTTATACTGGGCCTAAAACTCCAGGGTTCTTACAAAGGTTCATGGTAATCATTTTTAGTCCCACCCTTATCTTTTACTGGACTACTAAATTATCACAAACTTTGCCAAATAAATAGAACTACTTGTACCCACACCTGCTCTGCCAATTCCATTTACTATTTACTTTGTCTGAAGTATTACCAAATTCACCTTACCACCCAGCTTGGCTGCACACTTGCTTTTAAAAGCTTTGGTTAGCATCAAGCCCTAAAAAATGTCTTGATCTCAAAGAGAGGAGCTGCCACCCAGGGCACTCCAAGGGCAAGTATCAGAGGGAGGGAGGCAGCAGTGGTCTCAAGCATGCATCAGCAGTGGTCTCAAGCATGCATCAGCAGTGGTCTCAAGCGTGCATCACTCAAGCATGCATCACTCTGTGTGGGGTTAGGGTGGGGCAAGTCAGCAGAGCTACACCCTAGGGAGCAGCAAGAACAGTGCAGCCTGCTGGGTCATCTCAGGGGTTTGCAGGATTCCAGACTCTCAGACCAGGAACACTGAGTGGGGCCTCTGGGAACAGAGCACATTCCACCCAGCCTGTGGGCGCAGCAAGGAAGTGGAGTCCAGGGGTGGAAAGGGTCGCCCACTTTGGAGGACCTCCAGAGCTCGCCCAGTGTAGAGAAGCACCTGGGCTTCTGGTGTATTCACCCAACAAAAACAAACCTTCTCTCTGTGAGAGCTCTTTACTCCACTGCGGAGAGGGAGGTGAACAGAGAGAAGTCACATGGTCTCCTGGACGTGTGTGCTTTGGATCGGTACCAGCCTGACATCCCACACAGCAGCATGACCTGCAGGATGAATGCTGAGTTCCACTGATTGGAGGCAAAAATAAGATCAGTCCACAGCTCCTCCTCCTTCTCCTCCTCCTGGCAGCCATATGGTAATTAATGCCACTTAACATATTTTAAGTAGAAAAGTTACATAGCTTTTATAGTTGTTTGCAATCAGTCACACACACACACACACACACACACACACACACAGACACGGTCAGTCTGAAATCATAAACCAATATAAATACAAATTATGGTGTTCTGCAAAAAATCACTGATCTGCAATTTTGAACCATTCCCTCTCTGAATAGGGACCTGTATATACACATAAGCATCATTAGTAGAAAGTAACATGCCAAGAAAAATCTACCCTATAATAGCTTCCAAAACAGTTCAGGAAGGAGACCTGCAAAAAAACAAATATCAGATATGACTGAGGGAGGAAACTTAGATGAAATTCCATTTCCTAAAAAAGGAAGATCAACTTGCTTTGTGTTCCTACTTGTTAAAGGGAGTGTTAATTATTAGAACAGAATCTGACCTGACCTGTTTATGTTTTTTTAAACAGAAAACGGATTGTATAAATAGATCAAAGATCTTACAAATCACAAGGACAGCTAATCTGCCTCTCTTCCAAATACTAGTCATATTATTATTTTATTTGGTTGGGTGAACAAGAGCTACCACTTAGCAAAGAGTTTAATCACAACCTTTCCTGATGCAAAGCTTCCCCTAATGGTCATGTCCTGCAGTTCATGATGGCTTCTTTTCAAGAAGCACTCCTGCTTTATGTTTGTAAAAATAAACAACTTTCAAGTCAAAAGTGAGACAATCCATTGTAGAGACACCTGGAAGTCCTACCATAAGTATTACATTCAGCAGTTAAAAGAGCCCTTGACTTAGCATCATAGTGACACCAGGAAGACATAAGGATGTTATAGAAAGGGAGAAGGGAAAGGAGAGGATGTGAAGAACAACAGAGGGAGAAAATGAGAGCAGAGGTGGCAGCAGGAAAGGAGGACAAAGAAAAAACAAGAATGCTGCACACAGAAAAGGAACGCAAGGCTCCGAAGACCCAAAACTGCTCAGGAGGTCACAAGGAAATGGATTTCTGAAAGAATCTACCAAGCAGCCACGACAGTAAATAGCCACAGGTGAGCGCCTTTGGCTAAGACTGGGCTCTTTCTAACCGTGGTGGTCATTTTGAGTCTGCTGCTCTTCTAAAATGCCACTTGTTTCATATATTGTAAAAATAAATTCCAGTTTACAGAATCACAGCATATGTCTTTCATTTCCTGGTCTGGATTCAGTTGCATTCTTTGATTTGGGACATTGAAAGCTATCATCTTCCCTAGGTAAATTTGGTGGTACTGATATTAGTTACTCTGCATCTCTACAGAAGTGATGTGTTATAACACTTCTATGAACTGCATCCTCAATACGAAATTCTCAAATATTTCACTGATATGTCTAGAAGCAAACAGAAGCATGGGAGGTAAACGTAGCTCTCCAAATAAATTGAATGTATACAATCAGAACACAAGCTGAATATCTTCAAAAGGAATTCAGTAAGTTTACTCTAAAATTCATTTGAAAAGGTAAATGCAAAGAAAAAGAAACAAAAATATGACAGAGAATAAATATTTCAGCTGTGAGGAGAAGAGTGAGCACTTGTCTTGAGGCAAAACAAAATACAGAATGAAAAGCAGGGTCATGTAAATAGTTGACAAAGCACCAGACAGACCCCAAAGGACAAGGTCCACAGACAGATAGATGCAGGTACAGGTCATAATGGTGTATTTCACATCAGTGGGTAAAGGTAGTTTCGGGACAACAGCTATGTATTAGGGGCAAAAACACAATGCCTGCCAACTAATGAAATGCCCAACATTTAACACAATAATCCGTGCCCAACATTTAACACTACCCTCCTGTAGTCCCAGCATGCACGGCAGAAGCAGGAGGATCTCTGTGAGTTTGAGGCCAGACTGGGCTACATAGCAAGCAAGACCTTGTCTCAAAAACAAATATTAGAAGATTGTTTTAAAGTCTTCATTACTGAACAAAAATGAGAGCCATTAAAGACTTCTGAATTTCACATACATTGACATCTTTTTTCCATTTTCCCTCTTACCTGACAGGTTTTTTTCATACACACAAATAATCATCACATAGCTACACTCACGGAATGAATACATACAATCTTGAGCTTTCCTGTCTTCTAACAAAAATAATGTCCATATTGTTCCAGTCTTTAACAACTTTCTAACTGCACTTCATCTATAATTCCATGATTAAGCATTCTTTTGTTGTTGTATGTTAAGTGTATTTCTTTTTAATATTATAAACAATAATAAGATAAATAATGTGCATTCTTATGCTGTAAGTTATTATTTTAAAATAAAATTCCAGAAATTGGTCCAACAATGTGAAAAAATTGTCACCACCTGCCAAATCGCTTTCCAAAAACTGTATCAACTTTCATTACTGTACTATATGTGGTCAAGCACATCCACTTGGCTTTGAAACTTTCTCTTAAATTTTCATAAAACTAAAAGATTTTTGAAAAGAGTATTCATTTCATCTCAATCTTGTCAAAAGTAGCTTTTGGTAGTAATCCCTATGTTAGATAATAAATCACTGCTTGCAGATTTAATTTGTATTTATTTTAAATTGCCACTGAAATTGACTGCCTACTTTTAGAAAAGCCTATTACCAAACAGTGTGCACATGGTTAGCATCCAAGCTGTTTCAATTTAATGCCACCTAATGCCCACCTGAGATGACTGCCAACGATTCCTTCTGAGTTTCACTTTTTGACTGAGGAAAAATTAGACTGTCAGCCCTGATAAATGAGTTGCACCCTGTTGGGCCTGAATAGATAGGACAGACTGAGCTCTTGCAAATTGGGTCCTCGAGAGACCATAGTCATTGCAAAAGTCAGGGGCAAAAGTGAGACTTTTCTGGTACACAATGGAACAAAACTCTGCCATCAACAAGCTACCATCACCAGGGCAACAGGGGCTCTTGCGTCTTGCCCTTTCTGCCAGACACAAACTTGCAGCCTGGGAGGACATGTCCTTCACACCGTCCAGTCAGCCTTCCTCTCATTTAACCCTGCACTTTCAACTTGGACTGTTCCCCTAAGGAAAATGATGCCTGCATCAGCCTGAGACCAATAACCGCAATCCCAAAGTTCTGAAAACTATCCTCCCAGAGGTACAGACTAAAAATCCACCTCTGGGCCTTGTTGTCAACCCTGCCACCTCACCGCGACCTCCATTGCTATCAGGTGTCATTAAAAAGCACAAGCAGGCATTCAGCTCACACATCAGCCTGATAGACTGTTAATTACCCCAGGCAAGATCTCCATGCTGTCAGTAATGCAGCCATCACCTTGCACTCTGTGGTTCTTGACCCATACTCCCTTTTGAGACTGGCTAGATTTAAAAGACCCTTTCTGCCTGCAAGTTGCCCCCTCAAGACCCTTCAACTGGGAAAATCCTGAGACAAAAGGCCAGCTCACTAGTGGACTCAATTCCACTAAGGGGTTAAAAACTCCTACTATGTTCAGAAACAGCAGATTTCACTCCATCATGCCCCTATGCAAAGAGTATATACTGTCAAACTGTTAAATTATACCTCTCCTGCCTGTAAAGCCTGTTTAATATCTCTGAGCTGCCAATGGTAACGTGACTGTCCTTCATATATGCTGCCTCAGGCTCTTGCTAACCATGGCCTGCTGGTATACCTGCTTGGACCCAAGGAATGCTTTGTTCTGCCTTTGGTTGGCTCCTGTCAGCCAGCTCCTCTTTGCAAAGACCTCAGTTCTGG